AAACAAAACCACAACGAGATCAGAACAACACAACAACCTCGGGATCAGTACCAGACAGGTATATCTCGGAAAACAAACTCTGCACAGACACATTGAATTCTTTACAATTTTTTTCAAATAAATTTTTATCAACCCACAGTCAGGACCGTGGATGTAGCAACTAACCCATGAAGCAGGTTCATGACGCGAAAGGCATGGAACTCGAGCTCAGACCTGTCTCCAGCGGGGTGTCGCTTCCCTCTCCGGACTTCTTGCCAAAGCAGAGTATACTCTTTTTCCTCCGTTAGGATTTTTTCCCACAGGGTTGTTCCTTAGCGGAGTTTTTAATGAGGTGCCCCTTTGTTATGACCATGGAGAGTAGCACCCCTACCGGGCGTGCAAACCCAGGAAATTGAAGACTTACTCTCTCTCACCTCAAGTGTCACTTTCGCTTCGGAGAGTTTGGGGGACTCAAGATGGAGTATATTGCCATATACCCCAGGGGTATCACAATCGTTGGCATAAAGCATCACGGACCCATTCTGGAGTGCATAAAAAGACTAAGTCCACAACTGGAACCGACCCTGACCAACCAGGGGCGGGAACAAGTGTCATGCAGCAGAATAACTAAGGACCAAGGGGTCATCCGACCCCGACCTCGGCCCCCGAGGTCGGGTAATGCCAAGCTCAGGAATCAACCAAACTCAGCAGGTTATGAGCCCGACCTCGAATGCACCGAGTTTAGCACCAGACTCGACCTCGGGCATCAGCACAGAGTCAGTCGGTATCAGCACCAGGCGGTACACCGTCTCGAAGACAGAACCAGAGACAGAAGGAGAATTCCCCCACATAAGAGCCTGAGTCTCCAAATACTGACCTCAGTAAGCTCGAGGTCAGACTAAAGCACTATGGACTTAGACAAATCCGCAAGGTCCAGCATCACAAGGAGGCACTGCCACGTCACTCCCGGAAACGGATAATATTCCAGATTGCCCACGCATAACCACACGGATATTCGGTTAGCAGTCTGTTAGGAGAAACTCCAATCAGCCAGTTGTACAAGACTATCTCTCCAATCATCTTTACACGTGGCTGCTCCCCGTCGACTTAGACTCTTAGTTTGTTAGATTAGATTGGAAACATGTCATCTTCTTATTAGATCAACATCTTTTTACTTGGGCACCAAGTATTTCCTATTTTAGTATAAATATCACCTTCCAGCTTGTGGAAAGGGATCGCAATTTTAACTCTCATACTGTTATTCTGTCTAATTATCTGCCTGTACTTTCTGATCATTTCTCTCTCGTTTTACTTGGATTCCGACCACCCCCCGGTCCGGCGATCCATCAGTATGGTCATCCGTACATACTTGATCATTAAAATGATGACAATTGACAAAAAAATAGACAACTCCTACATTTTGATGTTGGAAGCAATCAGAATGGGTAGTTGTACTATTCTACGAAGAACGAGTAGTTGTACTATTCTACGAGTTTGTAGATTTCAGAAGGGGTAGTATCACTATTCTCCAGATCATAGATTTCAATGTCTCTTCCCACTTTCACGCTGATTTTCCGTCCAACCTCCGAAACGCCACCGTTGAACCACACTTATCTGCTTCTCTCCATCGCAGAAACATTCTCGTCTGAAGTCTAACAGTTTCACGGTCCAAAGCAGTCATAGCTGTGACACCGTACCCGTATGTACTTGAAACGATGATTTAAAAATTCAAAGTTGATGCATTGAATTCCCTAATATCAATTGATGGATAGTGTACCCGGGGGTAGCTTATCTGAGGGGTTATTTTGGGGAGTGACCTAGAGAGAAGTCAGAGCAATAAGTAAGAGAGTGTGTATATTCGAATAGGAAAGTTGTGTCGATTACAATGGAAAGTGGCTGTTATTTATAGTAGCCATAAATGCTAGGCAGGGACACGTGTCAAGCATCTGATGGCCAAGGATCTCCTCAATCGGGGTGACACCAGCACTCGCATGTGCACTGCATTAAATGCGGTGGTTGGATGTGATGTTGTACTTGACGCGGTGATTCAGCACATGTGCGAGAGGAGATCTTGTCGAGAAGAGCGGCTTCGGCTGTATATGCCGAAGGCTCCGCGTACCGGGGCCCTTATGTGCCGAAGGCTGTATGTGCCGAAGGCTTGGTTTTCAAGCCTTGTTCTCCTATGATGTTTATTGACTTGGTTTCATGAATGTAAAGCCTTCGAGCATGGGGCCCAAGGCACGTCTTGGGTATTATGAGCTGCTTGGAGTCCTGTTCGCTGAGCTTGGCCCATTTTGACTTGTTGGGCCTGATCGTAGTAGTGGAAGTATGTGGGTCGGGGGTTCCTGGGCCATATACTCCATCAGGAGTCCCCCACTCCTTTTGCCGAGAGCTTCTCGAGGGAAATAGGAGTAAATGTTTTGAAGTTGTTGACGGCTGCTTTGTTGTAGTTTGTAGAGTAGTGAAACATTTGTGTTTGCGTACTCTGCCGAGGGCAGTCCCCCAGTACCCTATAGTTTGGGACGGAAGGCTTTTGTTGATGTCTTGAGAAAACTTTTGACCTTCTGTGATTTTCCGGAAGGGGTTCTCCAGTCCCCCACTCCTTGAGGCACATGTAATGGGGTGAGAAGGAGTAGAGTAATGTCTGTCTTCAGTAGAGAGCCGAGGGCTGACACCTTTTTCTTCATTTTGGGGAGATGCCTCGTTAAAAACCTCATTAGGAAAAACCCTGTGGGAAAAAAATCCTAATGAGGGAAAATGAGTACACCGGGTGCCCCCACAATGAAGTAAAAAGGTAAACCCTTCGGTCTCATATGAAGGGTACAACTTAGGCTGAGGGCAACTCATAATATGTGGAGAGTAGCTCCGAGAGGACGAGGGTTGTCTATGATCCGAGGGTGTTTATTGCCGACTGGATCCCCAGATCTCCATACATCGAGGGCTGAGGACTCCCGAGAGGTTTCCCCAATCTCCATGTTGAGGGCTAAATGTGGCAGGAGGGTCTTTGAACGTGATAACCCGAGGGCATGCCCCGTTGTTGTTTGAAGGATGCTACCTGAGGGCATTTCAGTGTTTCAAAAATAGCCGTTGGGATATGACCGTTGTAGAAGGTGTCCACGTGGCGCTTGCTGACTGGCCTGTATTGGGCGGGCGGCACCGGTTGGTTGAGGCCGCGGTTAGGGGTGATTGGCCTTTGACTGGAGGTCCAGTTCTCAGCCCAAACTCTAGGTGGGAAGGCTATAAATACCCATGACCTGACCTCATTTGCTTTGTGCGATTATAACTGGGGCGAAGCTCTGCCAAATTTCCTAGAGAGATAAACACTTGCTTCGATCGAACCCAAGCTTTCGAGGTTAGTTCTTCACCTGTTCTTCGCTTCCGTAACATATTTAGCTTTGCCTCCCTTAGATTTAGTGTTAGTAGCCTTAGAATCTTTTACCGCCCGAAAAACCCCTCGGTTGTGTATCGCAAGATGTCTTCGGCTAGCGACTCCCAGGATATCTCAAGAGAGCCCTCGATTCAGTCCGAGACATGGTCAGACGGGAAGTCAGTGAGCGAGGAGTCCTCGTCCAACAACGATTATGCTGTAACATAAGAGATGCAAAAAGATCTCGTGGCCGAAGTTAAGGCCGGGGAGTTCGAGCAGGTTGTGGAGGATGAGGAGCTCGCCCTCTCCATGCAAACTGCGGAGGAGGAGGAGGAGAAGGAGAGGCACGAGGTCACCATTGTTGTGTTTCCCCCGCGCAATGCCGTTGAGGCGAGTAGCTCCTGACCTCTCAATCCAGAGCCTCTTAGGGTGGACCCGGGTAAGAAAAAGAAGGTGAAGGCTACACCAAAGAAGAAGCAGGCCGCCGTCGACACTGGGCAGCCGGTGGGCATTCCCGAAGGCTACTCATACATGAAAACTGCCGCCCTGGATGTGAAGACAAGGGCTACGGCTGCTGAGTACCAAGCCACGCAATTCTTTGCAGGCCCCTCGGCATGCGTGGTGGAACCGGGGCTAGATGACGTACTGTTGCACGCGCCCGAGGGATGCTTTGTCGTCCATATCTTGTCGGTGGAATTGGGGCCTCTGTTTCCACTCCACCCCTTCGTGCTGGAGTACTTGCGATTCGTGAAGCTGCCCCCCTGTCAGCTAACACCCAACAGTCACTCTTACCTGGCTGGCTTCCTTTCCCTCTGCCGAAGCCGGAAGGTCCAGCCCACCTTGGACCAGTTCTTCCTTTCTTTCAATCTCTGTCGTGGGGCATTCAAACGCCAGAGGCTTTGCCAATTTGCAGCAGGTCCCGAATGTGAGGATGTTCGATGATGTCCCTTCGTCCCACAAAGGATGGAAGGATAAGTTCTATTACATCCGCCTGGCGGAGAATCCCTTCACTGCCCCTCTTCGCGATACCTTGCGGAGGCACCTGAAGGCAGAGGGTGCTGCTCTCGAGAAGAACGCGAGGAAGCTTGCCAAAATCCGGAGGGTTCTGACAAGCACATGACGATCAAAGATGCCACCCTCCCGGATGAGCTGTATGATCTGAACTTCCGCCGATAGCGGCTGATGGGGGAGAAGGACGACAGATACGCCCCCATAGATTGTGCCTATGAGAGTGCTAGAGGTGATTTACGAGGGCTCTAGTATTTTGTACTTACAAACATTTTTTGTGGTTTCATTTCTGCTGTTGTTTTTGTGATTGAACCCCTCGGTATAATTATTTCCCTTGTCTCGCAGGTGCCAACATGGATGTGAGATCCTTCGCCGGACTTAAGAAGAAATTGGCTAAGGAGCCAAAGAGGAAGAAGACAGGGAACCAAAAACCCGTTAATGAATTCTTCCAGAGGGACGAGGGGCCCTCATCGGCTGTTCCTGCTGCTGTAGGTGGCGCCAAGGTCGGAGGCGACCAGGTCGCGGCTGCAAAGAGAAAGGCGACGGGCAAAGCCATTGTGCCCGCCGGTAAGAAGATGAAGAAGGGGGTGCTGAGAAGAAGGCTACCCCCGTCGTGGTTGTGGATGAGCACTCCTCGTCCGAGCCCCCGGTCATGGCGGCGACGACCCCCTCCAAGCCCCCCACGGAACAGATGGGTGAGGTGGCCTTGCCCCGGGAGAATATATAGTTCTCCCTCATAAAGGGGACTGCCATCATGCACGGCACGGTGGACCCGAATGAGTTCTTGAGGGGTGCCACCCCCTCGCTGGATAAGGCAGCCCTGAGCCGGCTTGAGGATGACGCCCTCGACTCCAAGATCCTCCGGGCTTCCCTCACTGTAAGATCCCTTCGTGTTTGTTTGCTTGGTTAGTTTGCCCTAGCGTAATTTGCATGGTGGTCTAACTCTTGCCTTTTGTTTGTTTGCTAACAGACATGCATCGGCCTCGGCGAGCAGATTCGCAGGGTGGAGGAATTGCGCCTCCAGAAGGCGGAACAAGACGAGACCTTGAAGAGGCTTGTCAAAGATAACGCCGCCGCTGTGAGGGATATGGCGAAGCTGGAAGAGACACTCCAGCAAACGGAGCAAAAGGTGGAGGCTGCCAGAGTAGAGGCCAGGGCTGAGGGCAAGGCCGAGGCTGAAAAGGCTGTTGTCGAGGCTGCCAAGAAAGCTGTCGAGGAAGCCGAAGTAGCCAAGGAAGAGGTTGTCGCTAAGGCTTGGGAGGATGCTGATGCTAAGGCTCGGGAGGATGCTGTCGCTGCCTTTGTTGCCGAGGGTTGGAAGGTCGATGACCAAAAGCAATGGTTGGCCTCGGTAGTGGAGGCGACTGTTGATGACTGGGTCACCGGACCCGGGGCTGAATGGTTAGCCCGGAAGGGTAAAGAGTACTATGATGGGGGCGAGTACTTCACCCAAGCTCTTTGTCTACCAGAGGCTCGCCCGGCATTATGGGGTGAACCCGAAAGAGTTTAATCCGGCAGCCTATGGCCTTCCCCCCTTCAGCCGGATGTCCGAATTCCCCTCCCTCCGGATGTCGAGAGGCCTGACCTGGAGGACTCGGTGCTGATGCAGGAATGTCAGAAGGGCGAAGAAGAGGCCGGAGGGGATGTTACTTTGAAGCCTGTCGAAGAGGGTGCTCCTGAAGTGGCTAACACTTGATTGTACTTGGACAATTTTTGAATATTTTGTCGTGTAATGCATTTATGAGCTTTCGGCTTCGGCCTTGATGTACAAACAATTTACTCTTTCCTTTTGTGAATGAATGCCTTTATGCCTTCGATTTCTTTTGCTTCCTTGTTTGCTTTGTGTATGAATGAGTTGTGAGTCTTCCTCCACTTTGTTCGGGGGTGAATAGTTTAGGACTTAGAAATTTTTTCTAAGTAATATTCACCGCTGGGCCCTCGATTTATGTCTTCAATCGGCTTATAGATGCTTTAGGCAAGTTTCCCTTAAGCAAAATATGGTGAGGCCTTCGGGTAATGCTTGACGCGCTGGGGGCCCTTAATTCATGGACTTGGAAAAATTCCCATTGAGTTTTCAAGCCAGTAGCCTCCTGTAGAAATGTGGAGTTAGTATATCTCCGATTCATTTATAGGATGGTAGCCCTTGATGCTGATAGTATGGCCGAGGGAATATCTCCAACTTAATACGCAAAAGTAGGTGCCCTAAGTATTTGTTGAAATGTCAAAGGTTGCACAACAGGAAGCCTTCGGCGTTGGCTTTCCTCATGTAGACTTAAGAGAATTTTAGGAACACTTGTTGGATAGTAGCCTTCAGAATCAATGAACTTTGAAAATTGAAGCCCCATATATGAGAGTAGGTGCCCTCGGTAATGCCGGAGGCTGTAGTATAGTGGACTTGGACAATTTTGGCCCTTTTTTAGAGTAAGATCCTTTGGCGTTTGCCTGGTGTGTCGGAGGCTCCCCAAATGTTGACTTAGCCAAATTTGGCCTCTTTGTTAGAACATGAGGTGTTCCCTGGGGGAGCCTTCATTTGCTGGAGGTGTTCCATTGTGGACTGTAAAAGAAATTGGATTGCCTTGAAAGAAGCCTTCTGGTTTGTTCCCGAAGGGTGTTCCGTTGTGGACTGTGAAGTTTGTACTCATTGATTGCTCATTGGGTCTACTCCCCTTCACCCCTCTTGTTTTTTTTCTATTTCTTTTTCTTTTTTTGTGGTAGGGAAGGGAAGTGATAAGTCCATTTTTGTACTTATTTTTCTTATCAAATTTAAGCGATTTTGGATTGAAAAATAGAAAAACAAGGCATGTTTTATATATTTTGGTTCAAGTTTCGTGAAATCAGGTAAAAACCACGTCCATGATATCTTTGACGAAATTCTGGGTCAATTAAGCACACAATGAGTCAATTTGAGTGAAAAATGATATCATACCGAAAGAAGGAAGCAGAATTTCAAAGTGGTCCAGAACAAGACGGTCAAATAACCTCATAGGCGGCCAAATAGGCGGCCGAAAAATGGAGGCCTTCGCGACCGCCTACGGAAAAATAAAAAAGTAGGCTTTGATTCGAAGCGGGAAGAAGACCGAAGGCTTCGACCAAAGACGGCCAAATAGGCGGCCAAAAATGGAGGCCTTCGCGGCCGCCTACGGGAAAAGACGACAAAGCCAACGACCGTCGGTGCGAAAAGACAGCAGGCGGTCGCCTTCCGTGGCCGCCTGCGGCGAAGTGACGTGCGGCACGTTCGACTGCCGGTGATGGGACGGAAGGCGACCGGAGCAAGGTGGCAGGCGGCCGCCTGGTTGGCCGCCTATGGTATTTTTGCTGCTATAAATAGCCCGACTTTTCCTCATCTCAAAAACACCATTCTTAGCCCGAAACTAGTTCAAAAAGGTCTTCTTCTTCCTCTTCAAAGCTCGGATTTCCACCATTGTTGCACCTTCAACTTCAATCTTTCATATCTTTTACATTTTAGCTCCAATTTGTAAGTTCTTTATATGTATTTTCTTCTTCTCAACGAGTAGAATCTGAATCTGTGCTTTGTTTTTTCGATCTGTTCTTTGAATTTTTCTAGAATATTTATCAAGTATTTCGCATTTTCTTCCAAAAATTAAATAAAATAGTTGTTGATGTTGAATTCATTCCAATTAATTATATAGTTGTTTACTAGTCTCAAGGTTGTTATTTATCTGAAGAAAGTTAATTTTCCTGAAGCAGAAGTAATTTTTAATTAATTTCAGTAATTAGTTGTTATTATTGCATAAATTAAATTAATTACTTAAAAAGAGTAAAAAAATAGTTTCGGCCCTAATTCCAGTTTATTTCACTGTAATATCACCGCCAGTAGTCAATAGAAAATTTAGAACGAATTTAGCCTATTTTTAATTGCCTTTTGTATTTTATAGTTAAAAGTGGGAAAATTATCAATTAGGGTTAAAATTGGATTTTAGGTTTAAAAATTCGTGAAAAATTCCAAAAAGTCATATTGTAGTTCCAGAAAGTTTATTTTGAGAAGATCTTATTTTTGATTAATTTTTGCTATTATACATGTTTAATTCCTTGTTAATGGTTAATTTATTTACCATATTGTTGAATGCAAAAATAATGTTTAGTAGCTAAAATTGTTTTGGGCATGAATTGAGTAAAAGAATATGGATTGACTTGTTAGCAAAAAATTAGGGGTTAAAATTAATTAATTGGGCTAGTTATTCAAATTGATGAATTAGTAATTAATAATTGTTAGCCATTTTCATTAATTAACTTTTGGAAAATTATTTCTAACTTGTCTATGGGATTAGAAAATAATTTGAGTCAACCATATTTAAGCACGTTAATAAGCCCTAGAAATAGGAATATTTAATGAAATGGATTTACATCTTGTCTATGAGAATTAAATTCAAATTGCTTAATTAATGAGTTTAATTAGTTAATGAATTTGGCTATTTTTATTGAACAAAATATTGGAGAATTATTTCTGTCTTGTCTATGAGATTAGAATTTAATTCAAGCCAACCATTTTTGAATACATTGATGAAACCTAGAAATAGGATAAATTAATGAAAGTAATTTCTATTCTTGTCTATGAGAAAAGAAATTATTAGTCCAATTGTTGTTTTAATTCCCCTAATTACTAGGTCCAAGAATATATCCATTTCTAATTATTCAATTCATTGCCTTTCTTTGATCAATCCATTTAGAGTTTAATATTTTTCATTTAGTTTATTTTTGAGCCATCATTAGTATTTGCATAATTTAATTACTTTATTTTTCAAAAACTAGTTTAGAAAATCAATCAAAAGTTTTAATTTGGAAAACTTCCAATAATTTGCGATAATCTGTGACTGAACTTAAAATCAAGAAACTCCTCCGCCATTCCGCAAGAGACACGATACTCGGAGAAAAACCGAAAGGTTAGACTCCGTTTTACTACAACGGCGCGAAAGCGGTTATCAAATGGCGCGTTGTCGGGGAATGGCACGGTGAATTCTTGATTTTGATTTTAGCATGGGCGAATTCAAGTTAGGGAGACTTTCTATTTCTTTTTTGTTTTGTTCTCACGTGTTTGCTTGAGATTTTCTCATGGATTACTCAAGCGAACACTTTCATTCTCATCCACCATATCACTATCCATATAATGAACAACAAGTTTTTCAAAATAATCAAAATGAAGGATACTATGAGCAAGGTTATGAGGATAACAATCAATGGTGCGAAAATCCACCTTTGGGGTATGGAGATTACCAATTTCAAGATAACTATTTCCACCAAGGGCAAAACTTTGAATGCCATGATGATTTTTCCTATCAAGGTAATTATCGTGATAATTTTAATTATTATGAAAATTACCACGAAGGGCTAGAAAATCATTACACCGGCACAAACGAGTACTCCTACGAGGTTGACTCTGGAATTTCACCTTATCCTGAACACGAGCTCGAAAAATTATAATCATCCTTGCTCGAGTTTGTGGAAGAATTAAAAAGGGCAAGGATTGAACTAGCATCTCGTGACGAGAGTATCAAGAAATTATGTGAACAAATCATTTATGATAATGAACACAAAATTCAAGAGGAGACATACGAGGAAGGTGCTAAATCTGAGGAGGAGGCAGCGGTAACTATGGGCGAGACGGTTGAAACTCATTGCACCCCTATTTCTTTTGAGCCTTTCATTGCTACTGAGCTAGAGTCTGTCCTCATAGAACTTAGTCCTAAAGAACTCATTCTGGAAGTGCCCACTGAAGTTGATGAAGAGACCATAGATGAGGAGATACTTTGTGACACCGGCCCTACCCTACCATCTACGGATGATCTCTCACCTGAAGAGTCCTTGAAGGATAGCCTTAATGAAGATGTTCATCGTACACAGGCCCAAATGCCTGTTGAATTTGTTATTGAAACGTGTGATTTGGAGGAAACAATCTCCGATGACGCCTTCTTTGACTCTCTACTCAATGATGACGAACATAGTTGTTCTAGGCAAGGATATGTTTGCCTAGATGATATATGTGGGGTTAGTGAGTTAGGAAGTTGGGATGCATTATTAGAGAGTGACACAGAATCTAAACTTTGCGATTTTCATGTTGAGGGCATAAATGAAGAAGAGAAAACTCATCAAGAGGAGTATCAAATCTCTAGTCACGCTACTTTTACCTTGATGACTCCATTTGAGTGGTTGGAGAAACCAGAGGCACCTGATCCTGAAATACTTGTTGATTCTACTAATTAGAGTGATGCAGGATATGTGCTAATTTCTTGTTCGAACGACGTGTTCTTTGAAGATTATGTCACATTTCGGTGGTCACGAGAGTTCAATGGTCTACGCCATCTGACGGCATACCTGGAGGATAAGGTGGAGGCACTAATGATGAGTGCTCCACGACTGACTTGCATTACAGAAAGTTCTCTCTCAAACGTCAAGCTAGTGACGTTAAAGAAGCGCTTCTTGGGAGACAACCCAGGTTTTTCATAACTTTGTTTGTTTGTTTTGTGTGATTGCAGGTGGTGCTTCAATAAATAAATTGCGAGTTGAACGCTTTGACCCGATTTCAAATTTTAAAAAAAAAACTGATCATGTATGATAACTTTAAAACAATTTTATTCCTGTTTTCATTATTCCTCTTCACAAAATCTTTTCAAAACTCA